ATATAGCTCTTACCGCATCTACGTCCACACGCTATATAGCTCTTACCGCATCTATTTCTACCTCACAAGTCGTTCGACAACTGGACCACGATCTATAAAATCTCTATCGTAGACACACCGCTTCCAAAACCTTCACTTCAACACGCTATATATCTATTTCTACCTCACACACATCGATCGACCACTGGAACGATCTATATAAACCATACGGTAGACACACGGCTTCACCACTCTATATAGCTCACACTGAAACAATTTCTACATGTCTCGCACACATGCCGATCGAAATCTGGAACACAATCTATAAAGCACGTATAGCAGCTACTTATAACAGCGAGCGAATCTCCGGAGGTGGAAACTCAACCTAAAGAATTAATGAAGAAGTTATTAGCACATCGCCGTCTGATCTTCATACGGAAGCTCCTCGTTTATCGAATCATGGCGTACATGACAAGGATGCGTGATAGAGCGACTCTCGTATAGGAACACACAACCTGGTAACACTTTATTAAGTTTCGTTACTATAATCTTTATGCATGAGTTCGGAGTGTATCTAATCGTGACGTATACGTGATAGGCATCGGTTCGGTTAGAGATGCGAAGGCAAAGATCGTGCTGGTACACAATACGATATCCAGTCGTTATTGTGATAGTGTTTTTGTGAGAACAGGCACAAGATAACGCAAAGATCTATGGAGACATACCAACCATTTCTACCATTGTAGCTCGTCGCAGAACATGTTTTGCTGGTCACTGTTTTTGTGCCAAAAACCAAATCATATCTGATGAGATCTGCTTGAGACTGCCTTGCCCAACCGTAGGAAGACGGCCACTGAACTACATTGACTGCTTTGCAAGGGATATCCAGCATGACATAGCGGACATGCAGACACTGATGATGGACAAATATTCATGCCATGGCATTGTGAACTCTATCTCGGATGCGTCCGCTGAGTAGTAGTAGTAGTAGTAGTAGTAGTAGTAGTAGTAGTAGTAGTAGTAGTAGTAGTAGTAGTAGTAGTAGTAGTAGTAGTAGTAGTAGTAGTAGTAGTAGTAGTAGTAGTAGTAGTAGTAGTAGTAGTAGTAGTAGTAGTAGTAGTAGTAGTAGTAGTAGTAGTAGTAGTAGTAGTAGTAGTAGTAGTAGTATAGTAGTAGTACGAGTACGTACGGACTAGTT